TCTATATTTGGTCTTATGGCCCCATAGAGCCAGCACAATAGGAGCCAAGGCTTTTCATTATAATTCAGCGACAGACAAGGGAGTCATTTTTCTTCAGAACCTCAATTTTTGGTCTGTAATGTACTATATGTTCATGCTACAAGGCAAAATACAGATATTAACTTAAAAATAAAACTTTTTTTTTTAACAGTTTTTGTCATGTGTAGGATGGCATGTGTCATAGCCTGTTTACACTGATTATATACCACAATCAAAGCTGATAATAGTTAAGGAGTCATATTAACACATTAAATACTTTGAATTCCTTATATATGGCTAAGCAGCCTGGATGCTGTAGGTGATGCAACACTTATTATAATCGCAAGAGACATGAGACTTGACTTGAACTCTAACTCAGAGACTAGACCCGTTTTTGACTCTGTTTTACTTTGCCCTGCTTTAGTGTCTTTGGAGACCCTGCTCTGCTCTTGTGTCGCTCTGTCACAGAGGACGCCTGGCTGAAGATTTCCCCACCACAGACTCACTTCTGTGTCAGCCCTGTTACCTGCCTTGCCTGGCCTCGAACTTACCTGCCACCCCTCGCCACACCGGAGGAACCTTACCCCCAGCATCAAGCCTATGTCTGTGTTCAATAAACTGTGTGAATATCCTCCTGAGCTGTGGTCTTGTCTGCATCTGGGTTCTGAGCCATGAAATCCCTGACAAAATGATGGTGTGACATCTCATCTCTGTGATGAGACAATTCTCTTTAAGTGAAATGGTTTGTGATACGTTCCTTTTTTCATGTAACATGAATCTGCTCAGTCTGGGGGCTAGTTCTGTTTGTGTCAGTAGGAGAATTGGCCAGAACACTAATTAAGGCCAAATCCTCCAGAGCATGAATTAAAGAGTTGAGAGACTAATGCTGTTTAATTCTTCTCTTTGCAGTAACACATGTACAGGTGTCCAATTTTGTGCACATTATGAACTTCACAAGTTAGAACATGCTGCAAGCTGATGAACTGCATTATATTACGCAAGTGTTCATGTTATTTTGTCCACTCCTCTACGGTTGTGGTCAAAAGTTTTGAGAATGACACATACATTTTTACACAGTCTGCTGATGGCAATTTGTACACCAGAATGTTATGTAGAGTGATCAGATAAATTGCAATTAATTGAAAAGTCCCTCCTTTCAATAAAAATGAACGTGGCGACATCACGGGCGAGTTCAGCGGCAACAAAACGTAGCATAATGGGGTTTTTTTCAACAGAAACGGTGGTTCCCTGAACATCCTGCTGTGTACACAAGCGCAGTGAATTTTCCTGCCTTTTTACAGTTTTTCTCAATTGTTTACACACAAATTCTGGTACTTGAGACCACGACATGTAACTCATTCACCAACCCCCTGAACCAATTCTGCTAAACTACAAGCACAATTCCTGCTTTACACTCAAATTGCAGTTCTAAAACACACTTTTTTCAAAACACTACACACAATTCTCTGCTTTTTGCACAAGTTTCATGCAGAAAATATCTTGTTTTCACAAGGAACACACTGCCGATCAAATATGCACACTGACTCATCACAAGGGCAAACACCCGTCACACAGTTTTCCAACTAGCAGTCAGAGCTTTAGCATAAAAGGGCAACAGGTGAGCTCTTCAATGGAGCGATGGATGCCAACATTGGAAACAGAGGCAGAGCCAGAGGAGTGAGAGGACGAGGACCAGGACGAGGACCAGGACCAGGACCAGGACTGTAATCTCTGATGAGATCTGAGCCACTTTGGTTGATCATGTGGTCAACCATGGTCTAACAATGAGGGAGGCTGGGCAAAGAGTACAGCCAAATCTGAGCAGGTACACTGTAGCATCCATCATCCGGACTTTCCAAAATGAGAATAGGTAAGAAATCTACTCTCACTAGCAAATTGCAGTACTGCATATCAATACAGTACTCAATGAGTACAGTAGTACAGTATTGCCTGTGGACTGTTCTGTAGGACTGTAAAAATACTGTAAAGTATGTTTCAAGTATTTAGGAAATGTATACCTACTTTGTATTTACAGTATTTTACTATTTGTTTTGCAGAACTGAAAGATTACCAACACAAGGTGGTCGGGAACGTCGTCTGTCTCCTGAACAGGAAACTGAAATCATAAACATGGTCCTAGAAAACAACGCCATAACATTACAGCAAATACAAAGAAACATAATAGAAAGCAATGACATATTTCCAAATATTGATAGGGTAAGCTTATCAACACTGGACCGTGTCTTGCGCAGAAATCATCTCAGGATGAAGCAGGTCTACAGGGTGCCATTTGAACGCACCTTGCCATAAGTGATAGCTAAGTGGCTCGGGGAACAAAACGGCAAACTTTCGGGTCCATAGCCAGGAAACTCCCCAGACCTTAATCCCATTGAGAACTTGTGGTCAATCTCCTAGAGGCGGGTGGAAAAAAAAAAATTCTGACAAACTTCGAGAATTGATTATGCAAGAATGAGCTGCCATCAGTCAGGATGTGGCCCAGAAGTTAGAGAAGGGCCAACACTGAAAATATTTACTCTTTGTATAAACTGAATGCGGTGGTGATGGCTCATAGATAAGATGCTTGCCTTTGGTGTGGGAGACCTGGGTTCAATTCCCACTGTGAAACATCTACCATTGTGGCCCTGAGTAAGACACTTAACCCCTAGTTGCTCCAGAGGCGTGCGACCTCTGACATGTATAGCAATTGTAAGTTGCTTTGGATAAAAGTGTCAGCTGAATGTAATTGTCAATAAAATCCTTTGACACTTATGAAATGCTTGTGATTATATACTGCAGTAACATCTGACAAAAATATCTACAAACACAGAATGAGCAAACTTTGTGAAAAACAATCCTTGTGTCGTTTTTAAAACTTTTGACCACGACTGTACAATCAGAATCACTATCTTTCAGTTGATGCTGAAATGCTCTGCACCTGTCCTCTGTGTTTACAGCCTTGTGTCTAGCGGGTGGAGCTTGAACATCAGCTTCAGTGTAAGTCAACACATCCCTCAGACGCTCAAACCAGTGTAACGTTATAACTAAATTAAACTGTAAGGTTACATGATCAACAATAAACCTGTAACCTCTTTCCAGCCAATAATTAACGTAATGGCAGCCAGCGGGACGTAAATAATTACCTTAATCGAGCACCGCAAGTTTGGCAAGTAAACAAACGCTCATTCATCTTTTCATAACGAACGGCAGTCGGAGTTAACCTACCGTAGATCGTAGCTAAAGCAAGAAGCAAGCTAACGTTAGATGGCCAGTGCTGAGCTAAACATGTTAACTAACCTCAGGTTACTAATCTATTTTGCGTTCAGCGCTTCTTTGTTTGGGTCTTGTTGTATGAAGTTTTAAAGCCAAAGTTTATGATAAATGGGGGAGCAGCTGCCGGTGTTTGTTTTCCTCTCTCATGTGCGGCCGCGCGCAGCAGATGCTACGTGTTACGTAGGCAGGTTATAGGTAACGGGGGGAGGAAATAACGGCAAGCTCAAATAAACATTGTTCACTAGTCCCGCACCTCGAATCCGAGTCGAGTCTGAAGTCTTTTGAGGACGAGTCTCATGTTGAGTCTGAAGTCACTGTGTGCGACTTTAGTCGCACTCGGGTCCGAGTCTCAAACTCGAGTTCTCTGACCGTTAATAGATAAGTTTATTCTCATGTTCAGACACATTTACAGCCTTTTCTTTTTTTATTCTCATATTTTGAAACACATCTGAACATGTTATGATTCTTTACTTTCATGTTAACTATTTTGACTCATGATTCAGCACAAAATTCAGCTGGTGAAATTCCTAATTACCAAAATTAGAAAACTTCTGTAACTACCAAAACTCAAACAGTGCATGATTTATGGTCTATTAGTCCATTTTACTGTGGGAGTCTACATTTGACATCAGTAGTTGGAAATTAATGATAGGATGACACTCCAGTGAGTGTCAGCTGTTCATTTCAGATTGGGATCCAGAGCTTGTCATCATCACAGTAGATTCACCTTCTGTTGATCAACACAATAATAATCTGTGTTAGATCAAATGTGTGAAATCTTATTTTTAAATTTGAAACAGCAAGAAACACAAGAAGAAATCACGTCTGTTATACTACATATAGGGTGGAGACAATGGGCCTTCATGTAAAATGGAGCTTAAACATTTTACAGTCAGTCACAGTTAATGATGTAACATTGTTGCTACAACACTACTTCACGTGTAACAATAGTTTTGATTGGTGGGCGGGGCAGAGTGTTACATGAAGTGTTACATGAGAAATCATAAGGTGAGTCAACTTGACAGTAAGTTTACTCCTCACTAATAAGGGTGATGAAGCAATTATACGTAGTACTCTTTCAGATAAAAAAGTTGATATTAGCAAAACTTAAACAATCTTTTTAAAATTACTTTACACACAAAATAGACACAAAGACACCAATGTGCAGAAACACACACCCAAACAACAAGAATGCATTTTTCAATGAAATATTTGTTCATCTTTGAATTTCTTGAAATGTATTTACATGCAATAATGTCAGTTTACTGCTAAAGTGACTGTGTTGTTCTCTCTTTACATTTAACCTGAACAGCTGGACCATTTTACCCTCAGGGAACCTGCTGACACTAAAACTTTCCTTAATCTAAAACCATTAGATTTAAAAACAAGACAAAAACAAATAAATATATACATTTTTTAAAAACATGCCACTTTATAAAAATATCATCAGATCTCATGCATAGCTTATGGTCTGACTCTACCCTGTTAAATCATATGAAATAAGTTGTTGATTGACCGCTGAGGAGGGCATGTCTCAGTCTCTGTCGCTGTCGTGCCCTGAAAAATTCCCCAGGCAACCTCAAGAAGTGTTTCATTGTTCCAATATTTTTTTAGTATCTTGGTATTTCAGGGCGCAGCTGCAACAGCAGCGGCCAAACTGAGATGGGAGGGGTTGCCACTGCTTAAATGCTGAGGCTGGTGTCTTAGAGACTAATCATGACTGGACAGGCAAAGAGGACACATGGAGGGACCAGTACCAGGTAAGAGGGGGGAAAAATACATGTGTGGGTGTATTAGAGTGACTGGCAAGGCAAGTTTATTTGAAGAGCATCTTTAGACAATTCGAAGTGTGGTACATAATGTATTAATAACATGAAAATTTAAATAAATAAATAAATACAAACATTAAAATTAATATTTAAAATAAAATTAATATTTAAAATAAAATATATTATTAAAATAAAATATAAAGACGAGACTTAAAAACAGGACAGAACGGCAAGATGGTTACTGAAGAGTATTTAGGGTTCAGTCAGAGTTTAGAGCCTGGATTTAAAGGTGGTCTACTATCCTCTGGAGGTTTGTTCCAGCTCTGTGCTGCTCAGTAACTAAATGCTGCTTCTCAATGTTTAGTTTTGCACTCTGGGAACAGTCAGCAGCCTGATGGCCAGAGAGGCCCAGAGGGTCAGATGGGAAAAGACAGTCAGAGTCCTAAACGGCTGAGAGATTTATAGACTGGGAATAGATGGTCTTCATTCCAGCCGTCTATATCCATGAATTGTTTTATTCTGCAATGTTGTCTCATTTTCATGTCGCTAATATGAACACAGGGATGCACTTCAGAGTGTGAAAGAATTTTTGATGTAAATCCACTTAGAACATCAGCAGATGAAGATCACAGCAACTGAAAAAATATAGTGTCAAGTGGAGAAATACTTCTATAAAACCGACTGGAAAACTGATGCTTTTCTGTCTTTTGGTCTAAAATAAGATTCTTATTTAGTCAGTTTGTTAGTCAAAGAGTTAGATCTGCTGTAAGGCTGATTAAAGTTACTTCAGTTACCTTATTAAACTAGTCTTTAAGATATGACTTATGACTAATGTCTTCACACTCATAGCTGGACAGACACATGAACACTCCATGGGAAGTGATTCAGGACATGCATCAACACATATTCATGCAATTCTTCAAATGTAACACATACTTTCACTTTCAGGTGTGTGAACTAAATGTTTTAGGAGGGAGGGTTGTTTTATTTGTCTGACAGACATGAAGCCTGTTTAACTGGCTGTGCCTCTATTATTACTATATTTAGTGTTCATATATTTCCTTTATTAGTTTAATTACATGGGTCCACCTTTTACGTGAACTTAATAGATTTTACAGTAAGCTATAAACAAAAGTCAAAAAATATATATACATTGGTCAAGATGATTTTATCCGAACCATACCTGAGGGACCCGTGGGGGGAAAAAAAGGCCACAAGTGTTTACAAACACTACAAACATTACAAATACTTCACATTTTCATTTCAGTTGAAACAGAGTAATATTATGTCATATGTTTAAAACCAAAAATAACACAATATTTCTATTACAGTCTGTTAAACTCCTCAAGTCTCTGCTTCATCACGCAAGAGCAACAGCATACTTACTTCTGGGATCTGGGATTCACAATGGTGGCTATTAACTGAAGTATTTGTTGTTACTATGTCACCTAGCTACCAACAAAACAAACAAGCAGGACTAATGCACTGAAAGTTGTTTTTTTATGTATTTCTACAGATTATGTAAAACTCCAGCAGCACAGAGCAGCTCCACATTCCTGTGTTCCAGCAGTGAGTCATGTTGTACATATTCTTATCTATGCTTCTTGATCTGCAGTACTTCCTTTATATTTACCTACTACTATGTTCATTGTTATGCACCAAGAAGATGTATTTGAAAATCTACTTGACAATCCACCTCATTCTGAGCCACATTGAACTGAATGTTGTTAAGTATTCTGGACCTTTAGTTATTACCATGAGCTCAAAGCAATCAGCAGTGAGTGATGCAACGAGTGTTTAGCTGATATTTTCCCTGGGTTTCGCCTCAAAGGTTACATAAAGGTGGACTTACAAACCTATACCCTTTGTTATGGTAGTGTGCATACTCATTGTATGTCTTGTCAGGAAGTGATCACTTCCTAAGAAGACATAGAAATAAGGGACAAAATCCGCAGTCCCTATTCTGCCTACAAATGCAGGTTCATTGATGTCAGTGTTTTAAAGAGACATGAGCTTCCCAGAAGGCCTCAAGCGCAACCGTTATTTCTGCATATATTTATAATTTTGCTGTATATTTATTTATTCCTGAAATAAATAGTCTAACTTGAAGAAACTTTGAATTTCTTTCTAGTTGTAAATCCGTTTCAGATTGTAAAAGAGATCATGTGACCTGGGATTTACCAGGTGATCATCAACGTCAGAAAAAACAAGAAACTTTCTGCTGACTTGGACCCTGTGAGACCTTCTGGTAAAAGGTAAAAGTGTGATAAATACATTAATGTTTAGAACATTAAGTTGACACTTATTTCTTTTGATGGTGATATCTTTTGCAGGTCTGAAACCTATCATGGAAACCACAAAAAACATTTTAACCAGCTGTAAGTAACCATCATCTACTGTACACAAAATTTACAAGATGAAGTTGTATATATTTAGAGTTCCAAGCAAACCCGTTTTCACTCCCTGACTCCTCACATATGGTCAAGAGCCATCGTCATCAGTTTGTAATGCAGTAATGGATCCCTTTACAGTCATAGTTCAACGCAGTGGGGGAAGCCCTGTAGCGTCAGTTTTTGATGGCAAAGGTGATATACAGAAAAGAGAGAGTAAGAGGTAGTTGGGGTGGATGGAGGGCCTTGTGTCCTGTGTGAAACAAAAAGTCAACATTAAATTTTTTTGTTTAAGTTAGGCAAAGTTACGTAAATTGACATTAGTTAACTTAGGCTGTGCGTTAACTGATGTACGTAGTTATTTTAACCCAAACCATGAGCTTTTCCTAACCTTGACCAAGTAGTTTTGTTGCCTAAACCCAACAAAGTACTTTTTGTGCCTAAACCTAACCAAACTGCTACGTTTCACAACTTTAATAACAAGCCATTTCAAAATGGCGATGGTTCGAAATACTAGCGTTTTACTTTGAAAATCTAATCGGACGTTGCCTATTTATTGTTGCTAACTTTACCGGAAGTTGCATATTTGTTGTGGAGGAAACCTAAACGTCAATAAATGATGCAAAATGGGAACCCAGGGTGTTAAAAAGAGATGCCAGAGGGCCTTGACCAAGCGTCAATATGTGACAAGGAGTCAGAATCTGTTTTCCAAGCCGGAGGGGGCCTGGGAACTCTATTGTAATCGTATTGGTTTTTATTAGGGGTCCAAGCCCGAGGGGGTCTAGGGACCTATTATCATTGTATTGGTATTTATTTTTATTCTTCCGTATGACATAAAAGCAAGGAAAATGCGTTTGGGCTTGGATCTCCGTCGTATGAAGGCATAGATCAAAAACCTTATACGCACGAGTTCGGGGGATTCCCCTGAATCTCGTGCTGTAGGCCACGCCCATTTCCGCCTAGATTGTTTGTTTTTTTTGCAAAATCGCAAAAACTGATTAACCTATTTTAATAAATGAGAGAAAATGTGAGAATTATGAGCTAACAATTTCCTTCTACGAATGCTTAAAAAAAAGGAAGTGATGTTGTATCTTGTACACAGAACGTAGGGCCCTTAAGTGGCAAGGCTTTCTGAGGGCCTGTAAAAAATGTGGTGCAATTAGCCCCTAGGTGGCGCTGTGTAACAGGGAATATCTGTTCCTCTATAACCACAAGACCCATTGACATGAAACATGGACGGCTTGTTCAGGATGGTCTCCTGACACGATGGCGCTGTTATGGCAGATAAAGATGTTTCTTGAAATCATCACAAGTCCGACACCTGCAAATTTTGATGCAATTTGGCCAGGTGTGCTGGCTTGGACCCCTTTCATAACTGCTTGCAGTTCTAGTTTATTTATTGTGTTTTTTTCTTTTATAGGGTTTAAACCAAACACATCACCAGTGGAAACTGCAATGATACAAAGTAAATACAGAGTTTTGCTTCCAGTATACAACATTACTATACTTGTAATATACTTCTAGTTACTTATTACTCATTTTGTTGTTCAGTGGACATTCACTTCAAGGATGGTGCATTTAGTTATGAGTAACACAGCATTACTAGCATTAGTAACTGTAATAATATTACTGTTATTAAGTTACTGGGAAAAGTCACATTATTACAGCAACGTGTTACTTCCCAACACTGTTCTAGACCTGCTCTTTTATGAAAAGCGCTAAGAGATAACTGTTGTTGAACAGAACCACTGGAGCATCATCACATATGTTTGTATTCATATCTTTACACTGGAAATTGCAAACTTCAGCTTGAATTGGCTCCAGCTAAAACTTATGAGTGGAGGTCTTCAGTACTTTGAAACAACAACAGATATTGTCTCCAGTTTGACTTAACATTGAAACATAAGACTGAAATTCTAAATTTCACAACAGTTCTTTGAAGCCAGCTTTGGGCCGCAATTTACATATTTTGTTTGTAAAAGATTGTAAAGCACTGAATAAATAGCCTTTCTATATTACAGCACATGTGCTCAGGATTGTGCTGTTGGGGAAAAGTGAAGAGCTAAAGACAATACTCGGCAACTTCATCATTGGAAAGCAAGGTTTTGATTTCCAGAAACATACCCCGACCAATCAGTGCGTGGCTGTCTATGGAGAGTGGAAAGGAAATAGTTTAAAAGTGGTGAAAACTCCAGACATGTTCAGTCTGTCTGAGGAGGCAGTGAGACAAGAGATGAGAAGCTGTGTGGCTCTTTGTCGTCCTGGACCAAATGTTCTGTTGTTGTTAGTAGAGCCTTCAGATATCGAAGAGAAGAACCAACAAATATTGTTCACAATGAATTTGTTTGGTCATGATGCTTATAAATACTCAATGGTCATCAGCACACATGAAGGAACACAAACAAGTTTCTCTGTCAGACAGCTCCTGAAGAAGTGTGGAGGAAGAAACTACAGCATGTTCAAAAATGACCACCAACTGTTGATGGAGAACATTGAGAAAATTGTGTGTGAAAACCAAGGAACCTTCCTCACCTTCACTGAAGAGACCATCAGACCAAAGTCTGAACATATCAAACCAGCTTTAAACCTGGTTCTGTGTGGGAGGAGAGGAGCAGGGAAGACTTCAGCAGCCAAGGCCATTTTAGGTCAGACAGAGTTTCATTCAGTCTCCAACTCATCAGAGTGTGTTAAACATCAGGGAGAGGTGTGTGGACGTTGGGTTTCCCTGGTGGAGCTGCCTGCCTTGTATGGAAAACCTCAGGAGGCAGTGATGGAGGAATCACTCAGGTGTATCTCCCTCTGTGAACCTGAGGGCGTCCATGTCTTCATCCTGGTCCTACCTGTGGGTCCCCTCACTGATGAAGACAAGGGAGAGTTAAAGACCATCCAGAACACATTCAGCTCTCGAGTCGATGACTTCACCATGATTCTGTTCACTGTGGAGTCAGATCCTGCAGCTCAAAATGCTGTTGATTTTGCAAGAGGGAACCGAGCCATCCAGGAGCTCTGTCAGAGATGTGGAGGAAGATCTTTTGTTCTCAACATCAAGGACAAGCTGCAGATTGTCGAGCTGTTAAATACTGTGGATCACATGAGACCCTACAAGGACAAACTACACGGCTATACAACAAAAACATTTGCATATGCTCAAATAGAAAAAATCATACAACAAGAGAAACGTATCAACATGCAGCAAGCTGAACTGCAGATGCTGAAAAAAGCAACATCACTTGTAAGTATGTTAATGGATTTCCCATGTTGAAACATAATGTCCTTGCTAGAGTCATGAGCGTCTACTGTCAGATAGTGTATGTATTTGTCAATGGGTTTCTTGATTGGTTGCCAAAGATCAAGACATATGAGCAGGCAAACAGCAAAAAAGGAGAGGAAAGAAACACCATCTTAGGAAAGTTGGAATGATGTGAGTAGTGAGAAACTCCTTTTATTAATTTAAGAGGAAGTGATTTTCAATGTGAAGGCAACCTCCTGAAGTATTTTAGTTTAGTCCAAGTAACCTTGTGACCTGAAACCACTGCTGAGCTGTGAGCAATCAGTGTGGGGGGACCGTCCACCCAGTCAAGGAAAGCAACACTGCCGGGAGCAGTGTTGGACGAAGTATTTAGATCCTTTACTTAAGTTAAAGTACCAATACCACACTGTAAAAGTACTCTGTTATAAGTATGTAAGTATCATCAGGAAAATGGATTTAAAATATGAAAAGTGCTGATTATTTTCTCCATAAATTCAGTGATTGTTTGGATTGTAAAGATTCTGCGGTTACAGTTACCCAGAGCTCAAAGTGACACCTTCACAATGCTTGTTCTGTCCAAACTTTAACATTATTAATAAACATTATTGTTATTACAACCATTCAGATAAAAAACAGCAAATCTTCCCATTTGTTAAGCTGAAACCATGAAATGTTTTTGCATGAAAAATGATTTAAACGATCAGAATAGTTGCCAAAACATTTCTGTCAAGTAACTAGTCATTTCAGCTGTACTTGTATGAATTGTTATAAGCTATAATTATAGTTTATAACAAAACATTATTTTTTATAAACTTTATCTGTTTCTGTGTGTAAAAAGTAATATGTAAAGTAACTACTGAAGCTGTCAGAGAAATGCAGTTAAGTAAAAAGTACAATATCTCTGAGATGTGGGGGAGTAAAAGTGGAAAGTAGCATGAAAAGTAAAAATACATCTCATTTGAGCTTAAGTTCAGTACTTAAGTAAATATACTTAATTACTGTCCACCACTGGCACGAAGGGGCCAAACTCTCTTTGCAACAAAAGATTTCTCCAGTACTGTGCCAGGCATGTAAGTGGAACGGACCAGAACTGATTCAAACTGACTTTATTTGTGACAGTTTTATTTAGCATCTTAACACCAGGCCGGATTTGGAGAGGCCCCTGAATCATATTCATCTTATTAAAAAGGGCTCAATGCCAGGGTTTGACAGTTAGTTTAAGAATGTGCATCTTTTGACTCAGTCCAAGTACCCTCATATGTAGAGTATAGTGGACAACAGACAGAAGGGTTAGCATTAGCTGCAGGAACCGATTCTAACCTACAACAACCAGACACTACGCCACCATGCTTCTCCACAATGCACTCTTCCACCGAATGAGCTACCACTAGCTACCCTCCAGGCAGTTAATGGACATAAAGTTGTTACTGTGATGTAGAGACAGAGCTCAGTTAAAACTTTATGGATGAAAGATACTTTTGTTACAGATTAATAACTCACCACTCTGAAACTCTTGCTCCAGTCCATGTTGCCAAGCTGGTTCGGCAACATATGCAGCTGAACCGAAGCTGATTGGCTAGTAGTCCTTAACTAGGAACTGCACATGTGCAACTCCCAACAAAGATCATTAAGAGACAAGGTGTATCACGCCATAGCTAAAACGAAGCTTCAACACAGGGTGAAAAGAGGAACTGCAGCAATGTGCATGACACAAATATGGTGTTTTTTGAAAATGAAACCATGTATACCTGTTCTGGTACAACCTCTAAATAAGATTATGAACCTGAAAATGAGCATAATACCACCTCTTTAAGTGAGTTCCAAACTGACACAAACAGATCTTGACCATGCATATGTGAAAACATTTTTTTGTACCACCGGTGCTGTGACATTGTAAAATTAGTAACTCCAAGTCGTCTTATTCCACAGGTGATGATGAGGAGCAGAGCCCAGAGAGTCTCAAGATTGTGCTGATAGGGAAGACTGGCTGTGGAAAGAGCTCTACAGGAAACACCATTCTAGGAAGAGACGAGTTTAAAGCTGAATTGTACCAAAAATCAGTCACCAAACTTTGTCAGAAAGCACAGAGTGAAGTGGACGGTCGTCCAGTCGTTGTGGTCGACACTCCTGGTCTGTTTGACAATAGTTTGACCCATGAAGAGGTTCATGAGGAGATGGTGAAATGCATCAGTCTTCTGGCTCC